CCCCAAAACCCCAAAACCCCAAAACCCCATGTTTGTAAAATATGGAGTAATTATTGTAATTTGCCAAAATATTAAAGGACCAAAGAGAAATAGTTATTGATTTATTTGTTCAATGAATAATTTAATTATCAGGCATAATTATTTAACTAAATATAATCTAATTTTTTCTAAAACACTCCCTTTCTAATTATAATGGGCAAGAAGTATGAACCAGTTCCCAACGAAATGAGGAAACAACTGATAGAGCTAATTCATTCTAAAGGCTATTCGATTGCTAAGGCTGCATTAACCACAGGGATATATTATCCAACCGCAAAAGCCATTAACAAAGTTTTTGTGAAGGAAAATCGAACTCAGAAAAAAGCTTTTCGCTTCAGACTTAAAAATATAGAGAAAAATTTCGTGGTGGTCAGATAGAAAATTCTAGTCGAGAAGCCTAATAATTTTACTCATAATGAAGAAAATCAAAAAAATCACTTGATATGTGGGATCAAAGCTAAAAAAATGTTAGATAACAAAAATGTCAATGTAACGAGCAAATAATTATTGTAAAAACAATCGATAGAAATATAGTAGTAAATCAGAGCAAGAACAGAGGTTACGTAGGATTATACTACTGCACAGCCCTTATTCGATTTCCGCCCCTATAAGGAGAAAATTTCAATTGGGTCGATTTACTCTCCATTTTTGCATAGCTTAAAATAGAAACTTATGGATAGCAGTAATTTCAAAATTTCAAACCAAGATAAAAAACTTTAATTCATTACGAGTAATTACTAATGTCACGGATTACTCAGAAATGATGGAAAATTATTCAGAAATTCTACTGAATCGACACTAGAAAAGCTTAATCTTAAAGACTATTTGAATCTTAGGACTAAAAATAATCTCTAAATTTATTTAAGTGACTCCTAAAAATAGTAAAAGGGATCAACAGCCTCCTCATAAATTCAAAGTCCATGTTTTAATAGCTCTGTAAACTCAAAATAATGCACTAATTCTCCTTTAAAAGTTACTCCTTTCAATGTCTAACAAAATGAGATGAAGAGTGCCTAAAATTCCTTAGGGAATCTAGATTGTAAAGAATCAAAGAGAGAATGATAAAAAAGATAAGTCTTGATACTTCATCAGAAAAAATGAAAAGTTAAGAAAATTGTAAAATAAAAGCACTTTTAAATAAGTATAATAATCATAATCATAACTACTATCACAAAAATGAACTTTAATTATACTAAATTTTATAATACCTTTTTTTTCAGATTATTATTATTTTCTCTAATTACATTTTTTAGCAGATGCTTCTAATTTCAATCTAACGGGGTTTTGGGGTTTTGGGGTTTTGGGGTTTTGGGG